ACTGTAATATACCGGTGGCTGTCGATATCTAAGTTACTCTCAATGTAACCTTTTCCTGTTAGATCCAGACTTGCGCGATATTTCTGCTGGAACCTTGCGAACTCGTCAAGCCCCTGTGTGTCAGTTGAAACGCTTATAGTCTGATTGCTTGTACCATATGGTACACTGTAACAAAGATCTCTTCAACCAACCGCCCCCCCCCCCCCCCCCCACTCCCCCCTCCTCCGCCCCTATTACAAAAATGAGGACGGAAATTGTTACTGGAACAGATATATGGAACCAAATACGCATATGTTTAACAATTGAATGTCCTGTACAGGGTAGTGCAACAACTCGCAACAAAAGACAGCTCGCAACAAAAGACAGCTCGCAACAAAAACATCTAGCAACAAGCGACAACTTCCAAAATTTCAAGAAAGCGGCAATTCGCAAAGTTTGAAATTTAACTTATAGCGCAAAAACTTCGCTTTAAGGGTACAGGGGTGGACTTCTTTAAAATTATATGTGAGGTGCAAGTGTGATATTTGGGTCCCTTAAATTTAGATGGGTCCCTGAAGGAAAGTTTTCAGGCCTTAAAGTCCACGAAAAAATGGTTCGCAATTGTTTACTTGTGCTTTTGAATTTTCCATAAAAATTGTGGGATCCATCTTAAATACTTGCCATTTCCTGGAATAAATTATCATAATTGTAATATATGTTATGAGGGGGAAATAATTGAAGAGATCCCTGTAATCTTGTTCGGCTAAACTCTTCTTTTGAATGACTTTACTAATGTCTCTACTCTGATTTGCCATAGCATCCAATTGAGGCCCAAGATGAATAGGGTCTATCAGCGGGTATCGAGGCGTATCCTCCTTTTCTGGCGCTTTCAGGGGACACTTTTTCCAACATTTCAGCAACATCGTTGAAATTATAACAAGTTGAGCTAACGAAACAGGTACGGATAGCCACAATACAATCAAACTAGCTCCAACTTTATTTTTGCTGTCGGGGTTATTATTAATAAACGCGTGAGTCATAAGAGAGGCGACTATTAGTAAAAACACGAATTGAAAAGAGGCCGGACCTATAGGCGTGCAATCAGCTTTTTGAGTATTCATCGAAGCTGTGAAAAGAATCATCAGAATTCCGGCCAGAATATTAGCAGAAAGTAAAAACCCTTTACAAACTAGAGTTTCAGTATAATCATGTGATAACGCCTTAGCAACCGTGCTGTTGTATATTTCGCATTTTTTGGTTTGGTTTGAGTCTTCGGTGAAGTTTGGGTGTTGGTAGCATGCTAGCCACAGGCCGCCGTTGTAAGAGTCTCCAAAATACCAGACAGTTTTTGAATGCCCAAAACAGCTGAGAACTAAAATGATAAGTTCGACAATAAGTGAAGCGACTTTTTGACACATTTTTTTCAAGTTGTTGGTATGAAATTAGTTTCAATTAGGTTAATTTTTCAAAATAAGGCCCAATAAGTCATATTTAACGCACCTTTGATGATTTAATTACAATCTTTTGACAAAAATTACTTACACCAATCTCATATTTTCAGATTACTCACTTTCAAACCATGAATATTCAGATTACCCACTGAAAAAGCATAAAAACATGCAAAAAATTATTATTTTTTAAAGTTTAACCAACTAACGTCCACTTTCTCCTGGGCCAAAAAAAAATCAAAATGTTTTTTTTTTGGTTTTTTGGCGCTTTATAACAAAAAATTTAGAGGAAAAAGAGAAAGAATATATTTCTCCTGCAAAACTTGAACCAAAATATTCTCAATGCAACAAATTCTGGAGAGGAAACACAACGGGATCTTGGGATCCACCAAGCGTCTGATAAATTCCTACCATCGTTTTAACTTGCAAATTGATTTCTGAGCATAAAGTGGACACTTTGCTTGCATTTATTAGCCCAAGTTGGCTTAATTGGTAATTTTACTCTACTATACGCTATTTTAAAAAAAATGGTATGAAAATTATTTTTATTTTCAAAACAAAACTAAGAGCAATTCAGTACAACAGAAGAGTATGTTTTGCTCTTTCACACATGTTCTTTCACGACAAGGCATGAATGAAAAATGAAATATTAGAGCATGAATGAATAAAGAAATCAATTGCATAGTTTCGTGCACTTTTCCGGGCTCTTTCACAATTTTCGGGACTCTTTCACAATTTTCCGGGCTCTTTCACGTTTTTTTTCTGGCATCTTTCCCTCAGAAAAAGCAAAAACATGCTCTTCAACTGTTAGAACATAGTTGAAGGTGGCCCCCGGCAAAAGAGCCGCACTCGGGCACTTCGTGCCCTCGGCCGGGCTCTTTTCCCCTCAGGCATCTTTCAACTATGTTCTAACTACTACAAAGAATTTTTTTTCCAATGGTGTTGATAGAAAACAAAAAATGATGCTAGCATGTCTTGCTTAAATTTATACCAGAATCAATAAATTGTTTGAATCCAGATATTTGCAACAAGAATAGTTCTTTGTCGGCCTTAAGTTACAATAAAATTTAACCCTGTAAACTACCAGATCAATTAATGAACCAAATAAAATTAAACTGAGCTTTTTATGTAGTTCAACAAAGCTTCTGAAGGCTAAAACATATTTTTGTTGAAGAGCTTAAAACTAACAGTTTTGGTTATGTCATATCATTTTTCCTTTACTCCAATTTGAAAACAATTTTCGCAATGCTTTGCGCTAATTTTTTTACCTTACCCAAACTATATTGAGCAGCATAATTTCCTAATGAATTTTTCAGCAAAAAAATTGAATGCTTAAGCATAGATTTGTTTTAGAGAAATCTAGTCGAAATCTAGTCGAAATCTCTTAAAACAATTTGTACCATAATAATTCTGATAACTTCTGTCTTCGTCGATAAACGTTTGTCTTCGTCGTGCTTGTCTAATATCAAAAAAGTTGGACGAAATTGTTCAAAGTTATAAAATTTTGTCAGAATTAATTAAATCAATACTAAACACTTGAAAATATCAATACAAAAGTTTTTAGGTCATTTTCTCAATATGGATAGAAAGCGGCAAAAATAATCCGGAGAGACATTTGTAAATTCAATGAAAGCTAAAAATTTGATCATTTAAAACTCTTAAGCCCCCCTTAAAATTCCAATAATAAAAATGGATTATAATTGAGTTCCATTGACAGTGTCCACAAATGTAAAAACAAACTGGCTATTTTCAATTGACAGTGTAATATAAAAATTTTTCCAAGCAACAAATATAGTTTTTAATCCATTATACCTAATTTTTTGTACTTTTGTAGACACTGACACTGAAGTTCTATTATAATCAATTTTTTTCCGTTTTATTGAGATGCGAATTTCAACTCAAATAAATTAAACTCTACGTTTTAATTTAAAATTGATTACTTGTTGTTCAATTTAATTTTTTACTGCGCAAATTCAGTTAGTTAATAACTGAATTTTGTTCCTTTCAACAATTTTCCCAAATTATTGAAAACTTTGGTGGTAGATAAAATTATTGGAGGTGGACTAATTCAACTTTCCATTAACTAGCATTTGCCCTTTGCCCCTTACCCCTCCTCCCCCCAACGTTTGCCCCTTTGCCCTCTTTGTACCCTTACCCCGCCATTCTCCACCTGAACCAACCCCGCCCCCACTGAACCAACCCTCCTCTCTCACATGAAGCCCAACTGAACCAACTTCCCCCCCCCCACACACACACACACACACACGCGCGCACACACACACACACACACCCTACCTGAGCGTATTGGCTCGGGTGCCGGGGCGAGAATTTTGGTTTTTCAGGTGAAGGGGGGCAGTTGTTTCAGGTGCGAGAGGGCGGTGGGCAAAGGGGCAAAGGTTGGGATGCGGATTGTAAGGGAGCAAAGAGGCAAACGTTTGAGGGGAGATTATCTTTTGGCCTTATACTCGCTTTGCAAATTTTCCGCATTTTTCGTTTGGTAAATGCAAAATATCTTGCAAAAATTTGCACGACGCGAAACAAAAATAAAGTGGAAAAAATCCATTCAATTTAGATTTTTTACTGACTTCATAATCCATTTTAATGGATTTGAAGTGTTAAATCCAATAATTATAGTGTTCAATCAAACTCAAACAATTATGATGCATTGTGTTTTTTGCGAGACAAAAAATGAATTTAAATCTATTTTTAGTCCAATTTTGTTGTCTGAGCTATAATGGGAATTGATTATACTGACAATATTTTAGACCACGAAAATCCATTATAACCGATTTTTTTTTTCATTTTTCTTAAACGCGGTAGGGTTTGAGTGTTGTATCACATTAAAGCCCCATTGGTTATAGTTGTCTTTGTGCAACATTTTTCATACAGTTTTTTCAGGGTCGAGAAAAACTGGTCTGAATAATTTTATTTTTCAGACTAAAATAGATAAGAAATTAGACAGGAATTAGAGGCTGACCTTCAGATATTTGTAATGACGTATAACGAATTAACTCATGAAAATAGTTAATGTTTTCTATTTATTGGATGATGGAAAAAACCGACAAATTTCTTTCAGCGGACAAAAAATTCTGAACAAAATTCCAAGTTAATTTAGTTCAAATTCGTCACAACCTGATCTAGTTGGACTTGAATGATCACGTGACGTGAGAAGTCAAAATATTAGGCAAAAAACAACCTCAATCATACACTTGTCTTGACAGAATCTTTCAACCTGGAGTTCTGCGAGGTAATGAAAACAGACTATCTTTAGATGAAGGCTTGATGCTTTTAGGTTAATGTGAAATCTGTAGCTCACTTGAGGATAAACTTGAAAACAATCTGAACAAAAAAAAACACTTCAAAAGGTCAAACTGTACTTTGGGTTTTTTGAAGCGCGATTTTTAATAAGATTGTTTTCAAATTGCTTCACATTGATCTATAGGCAATTTAAAATTACTAAAAAAAAAACAAAGCTTACAAAGTAGAAGAGAAAAGTATTTTGAAAACTCTGAGTAAAAATATTTTATTTTCCTCAAATGCAATTCAACTTCACATGCAGATACCAGCCAATAATTGTGTTTTGGGACAGTAGTTTTAGAGGAGTTCATGCAATACTTTTCTAATTTACAGGATTTTGAACTTATATTTTACCTAGAAAAAGGGTTAACAAATCATTCGTCAAGGACTGAAGGTATCTCGGTTGTTTACATGTCAGCATTGATGTTGTTGTTCGAAGAAGCGCCCGTTCTGGTCATTTCGGCTTGGCGCCCCGCTTTCCTGCAGCAGAAGTAGCTCTGCAACATGTCTAAGAATCCCTTTCTGAACATCTTGCTACCCATCAGGTAGAAGGAGAAATTGAACGACACATTGGCTGTCGAAGGTAACTCCTAGTCAAGAAATAATATTCAATAAAAAAGAACATTGCGCTGAGCTTCAGGCATCTACAATTTTTGCAAAAGATTTTATAAAATTCTAAGAGTTCCGACCAAAACTGGCACAAAATTGTGCTACAATATGACCGAAGTCGAGGAATTAAAGAAAAACGTAATATGTAGAAACGCTAGTGAGCTTAAGCCACAAAAATATACTGGATCAAATTAATATCCTCCTCTTCCACTCCGCACACCCTCCCCCTCCCACTTTTTTTGAGGGGGGGGGGGGGGGAGTCAGGGGCAGATCTAGGATTTTCTCGAGGGGGGCGGATTTTCAAAAAACTTTCGAAATTTGGTCGACCTTTTTTTTAGTTCGATTTTCTGAGCTCTCCCAAAGCACTAAAAAGACCCTGTTTTGGTCAGGATTTCTGCGCCGCAAACAAAATTTTTAAAAACATGCAAAAAAAATGCGTTTTGAGGCCCCTTTTTGGAAAACATTGACCAAAAAATTGCGTTTTTTCGGCGCGCGCACCCCCTTAAAATTAGCAGGTATTGGCGTCGAAAAATTTTAAGGTCCGTTACCATAAAAAAATAATTCAAAATAATTCAAAGGGGGATCTTTTTCCTCTGGTCCTAATATTTAAGTTTGTTCATTTTTGCCATCTCGAGTGCATGAACACACTAAGAACATTACTGAGTGCTTAGTTGAGTACTCGTTTAGAAGTATGGTCCCCTTATAAACCTCGTATAGATTAACGGTCCCGTTAAAAATCTCGTTTAGAAGTATGGTCCCCTTTTAACTCTCGTATAGAATAATGCTCCCGTTAAAAATTTCGTATAGAAGTCTGGTCCCCTTATAAAACTCGTATAGAACAATGGTCCCGTTAAAAATCTCGTTTAGAAGTATGGTCCCCTTATAAACCTCGTATAGAACAATGGTCCCGGTAAAAAACTCGTTTAGAAGTATGGTCCCCTTATAAACCTCGTATAGAATAATGGTCCTGCTAAAAATCTCGTTTAGAATTATAATCCCCTTATAAACCTCGTATAGAATAATGATCCCGTTAAAAATCTCGTTTAGAAGTATGGTCCCTTATAAACCTCGTTTAGAAAAAAGGTCCCGTTAAAAATCTCGTTTAGAAGTCTGGTCCCCTTATAAACCTCATTTAGAAAAAAGGTCCCGTTAAAAATCTCGTTTAGAAGTATGGTCCCCTTATAAACCTCGTATAGAACAATGGTCCCGGTAAAAAACTCGTTTAGAAGTATGGTCCCCTTATAAACCTCGTATAGAATAATGGTCCGTTAAAAATCTCGTTTAGAAGTATGGTCCTCTTATAAACCTCGTTTAGAAAAAAGGTCCCGTTAAAAACATCGTTTAGAAGTATGGTCCCCTTATAAACCTCGTATAGAACAATGGTCCTGTTAAAAATCTCGTTTAGAATTATAGTCCCCTTATAAACCTCGTATAGAATAATGGTCCCTTTTAAAATCTCGTTTAGAATTATAGTCCCCTTATAAACCTCGTATAGAATAATGGTCCCGTTAAAAATCTCGTTTAGAAGTATGGTCCCCTTATTAATCTTTTTTAGAAAAATGGTCCCGTTAAAAATCTCGTTTAGAAGTATGGTCCCCTTATAAACCTCTTATAGAACAATGGTCCTGTTAAAAACCTCGTTTAGAATTATAGTCCCCTTATAAACCTCGTATAGAATAAGGGTCCCGTTAAAAATCTCGTTTACAAGAATGGTCTCCTTATAAACCTCGTTTAGAAAAATGGTCCCGTTAAAAATCTCGTTTAGAAGTATGGTCCCCTTATAAACCTCGTATAGAACAATGGTCCTGTTAAAAATCTCGTTTAGAAATATGGTCCCCTTATAAACCTCGTTTAGAAAAATTGTCCCGTTACAAATCTCGTTTAGAATATGGTCCCCTTCTAAACCTCGTATAGAACAATGGTCCCGTTAAAAATCTCGTTTAGAAGTATGGTCCCCTTATAAACCTCGTATAGAACAATGGTCCCGGTAAAAAACTCGTTTAGAAGTATGGTCCCCTTATAAACCTCGTATAGAATAATGGTCCTGCTAAAAATCTCGTTTAGAATTATAGTCCCCTTATAAACCCGTATAGAATAATGGTCCCGTTAAAAATCTCGTTTAGAAGTATGGTCCCTAATAAACCTCGTTTAGAAAAAAGGTCCCGTTAAAAATCTCGTTTAGAAGTATGGTCCCCTTATAAACCTCGTATAGAACAATGGTCCCGTTTAAATACTCGTTTAGAAGTATGGTCCCCTTATAAATCTCGTATAGAACAATGGTCCCGGTAAAAAACTCGTTTAGAAGTATGGTCCCCTTATAAACCTCGTATAGAATAATGGTCCTGCTAAAAATCTCGTTTAGAATTATAGTCCCCTTATAAACCCGTATAGAATAATGGTCCCTTTTAAAATCTCGTTTAGAATTATAGTCCCCTCATAAACCTCGTATAGAATAATGGTCCCGTTAAAAATCTCGTTTAGATGTATGGTCCCCTTATTAACCTCTTTTAGAAAAATGGTCCCGTTAAAAATCTCGTTTAGAAGTATGGTCCCCTTATAAACCTCTTATAGAACAATGGTCCTGTTAAAAACCTCGTTTAGAATTATAGTCCCCTTATAAACCTCGTATAGAATAATAGTCCCGTTAAAAATCTCGTTTAGAAGTATGGTCCCCTTATAAATCTCGTTCAGAAAAATGGTCCCGTTAAAAATCTCGTTTAGAAGTATGGTCCCCTTACAAACCTCGTATAGAACAATGGTCCTGTTAAAAATCTCGTTTAGAAATATGGTCCCCTTATAAACCTCGTTTAGAAAAATTGTCCCGTTAAAAATCTCGTTTAGAATATGGTCCCCTTCTAAACCTCGTATAGAACAATGGTCCCGTTAAAAATCTCGTTTAGAAGTATGGTCCCCTTATAAACCTCGTATAGAAAAATGGTCCCGTTAAAAATCTCGTTTAGAAGTATGGTCCCCTTATAAACCTCTTATAGATTAATGGTCCCGTTAAAAATCTCGTTTAGAAGTATGGTCCCCTCATAAACCTCGTATAGAATAATGGTCCCGTTAAAAATCTCGTTTAGAATATGGTCCCCTTCTAAACCTCGTATAGAATAATAGTCCCGTTAAAAATCTCGTTTAGATGTATGGTCCCCTTATTAACCTCTTTTAGAAAAATGGTCCCGTTAAAAATCTCGTTTAGAAGTATGGTCCCCTTATAAACCTCGTATAGAATAATGGTCCCTTTTAAAATCTCGTTTAGAATTATAGTCCCCTTATAAACCTCGTATAGAATAATGGTCCCGTTAAAAATCTCGTTTAGATGTATGGTCCTCTTATTAACATCTTTTAGAAAAATGGTATCGTTAAAAATCTCGTTTAGAAGTATGGTCCCCTTATAAACCTCGTATAGAATAATGGTCCCGTTAAAAATCTCGTTTAGAATATGGTCCCCTTCTAAACCTCGTATAGAATAATGGTCCCGTTAAAAATCTCGTTTAGAAATATGGTCCCCTTATAAACCTCGTTTAGAAAAATTGTCCCGTTAAAAATCTCGTTTAGAATATGGTCCCCTTCTAAACCTCGTATAGAACAATGGTCCCGTTAAAAATCTCGTTTAGAAGTATGGTCCCCTTATAAACCTCGTATAGAAAAATGGTCCCGTTAAAAATCTCGTTTAGAAGTATGGTCCCCTTATAAACCTCTTATAGATTAATGGTCCCGTTAAAAATCTCGTTTAGAATATGGTCCCCTTCTAAACCTCGTATAGAATAATGGTCCCGTTAAAAATCTCGTTTAGAAATATGGTCCCCTTATAAACCTCGTTTAGAAAAATTGTCCCGTTAAAAATCTCGTTTAGAATATGGTCCCCTTATAAACCTCTTATAGAACAATGGTCCTGTTAAAAACCTCGTTTAGAATTATAGTCCCCTTATAAACCTCGTATAGAATAATAGTCCCGTTAAAAATCTCGTTTAGAAGTATGGTCCCCTTATAAATCTCGTTCAGAAAAATGGTCCCGTTAAAAATCTCGTTTAGAAGTATGGTCCCCTTACAAACCTCGTATAGAACAATGGTCCTGTTAAAAATCTCGTTTAGAAATATGGTCCCCTTATAAACCTCGTTTAGAAAAATTGTCCCGTTAAAAATCTCGTTTAGAATATGGTCCCCTTCTAAACCTCGTATAGAACAATGGTCCCGTTAAAAATCTCGTTTAGAAGTATGGTCCCCTTATAAACCTCGTATATAAAAATGGTCCCGTTAAAAATCTCGTTTAGAAGTATGGTCCCCTTATAAACCTCTTATAGATTAATGGTCCCGTTAAAAATCTCGTTTAGAAGTATGGTCCCCTCATAAACCTCGTATAGAATAATGGTCCCGTTAAAAATCTCGTTTAGAATATGGTCCCCTTCTAAACCTCGTATAGAATAATAGTCCCGTTAAAAATCTCGTTTAGATGTATGGTCCCCTTATTAACCTCTTTTAGAAAAATGGTCCCGTTAAAAATCTCGTTTAGAAGTATGGTCCCCTTATAAACCTCGTATAGAATAATGGTCCCTTTTAAAATCTCGTTTAGAATTATAGTCCCCTTATAAACCTCGTATAGAATAATGGTCCCGTTAAAAATCTCGTTTAGATGTATGGTCCTCTTATTAACATCTTTTAGAAAAATGGTATCGTTAAAAATCTCGTTTAGAAGTATGGTCCCCTTATAAACCTCGTATAGAATAATGGTCCCGTTAAAAATCTCGTTTAGAATATGGTCCCCTTCTAAACCTCGTATAGAATAATGGTCCCGTTAAAAATCTCGTGTAGATGTATGGTCCCCTTATTAACCTCTTTTAGAAAAATGGTCCCGTTAAAAATCTCGTTTAGAAGTATGGTCCCCTTATAAACCTCTTATAGAACAATGGTCCTGTTAAAAACCTCGTTTAAATTATAGTCCCCTTATAAACCTCGTTTAGAAAAATTTTCCCGTTAAAAGTCTCGTTTAGAATATGGTCCCCTTCTAAACCTCGTATAGAACAATGGTCCCGTTAAAAATCTCGTTTAGAAGTATGGTCCCCTTTTAAACCTCGTATAGAAAAATGGTCCCATTAAAAATCTCGTTTAGAAGTATGGTCCCCTTATAAACCTCTTTTAGATTAATGGTCCCGTTAAAAATCTCGTTTAGAAGTATGGTCCCCTTATAAACCTTGTATAGAATAATGGTCCCGTTAAAAATCTCGTTTAGAATATGGTCCCCTTCTAAACCTCGTATAGAACAATGGTCCCGTTAAAAATCTCGTTTAGAAGTATGGTCCCCTTATAAACCTCGTATAGAATAATGGTCCCGTTAAAAATCTCGTTTAGAAGTATGGTCCCCTTATAAACCTCGTATAGAATAATGGTCCCGTTAAAAATCTCGTTTAGAAGTATGGTCCCCTTATAAACCTCGTATAGAATAATGGTCCCGTTAAAAATGTCGTTTAGAAGTATGGTCCCCTTATAAACCTCGTATAGAATAATGGTCCCGTTAAAAATCTCGTTTAGAAGTATGGTCCCCTTATAAACCTCGTATAGAATAATGGTCCCGTTAAAAATCTCGTTTAGAATATGGTCTGCTTATAAACCTCGGATAGAATAATGGTCCCGTTAAAAATCTCGTTTAGAAATATAGTCGTGTTAAACAACTCGTTTAGAGCTATCGTCCCGTTGGAAACTTCGTTTAAAAGTATGGTCCCGAAAAACTACCAATGGTCCCATATAAAAGTCAGGCTGAAAATTTTTAAAGATAGTTTCTAAGTTTTGTCAATGAATTGATACTTATGTTAATTGAGTTTAAAAGAAGTTTGTAAAAGAGTTTTCCTTTTGTTTTCAACCACTGTAAGTACTTCAAGTATACTTCAAGTGGTCTGGGGGGAACATACTCCTGAATAATTAGCGTTACCTGCAGTTGTGCCATGGCCACATACATCTGCCCCACCCATGGGTCCCCTCCGTCCAGCTGGGGTCCCAAGTAGATCACGCTGGTGTAGAGAAAGAACATACACCCTGCTGTGAAAAGGAGGAACGCAAACGACATCAGCAGAAGGATACGGGTGATAGCCTGCTCCCTTCCCGACTTGGTGGACGAAGATTTCTTGTTCTTGTCATTTTTGCTGAAAAACAGAAGAAAACAATGAGATTAAAATTTAAGTAATTCAAAGCTGATATGTTTCACAGCTGGTGTTGTTCTTGTTTTTTTTTTGGCTGAAAAAAAAATTGAGATTTAAATTTTAATTTTAAAATGAAGACTACTCGTATCTGTGAGCAGTTTTGAATTTTTCTTCATTTTTTGTTATATGTTTTTTTTTTCAAATAAATATTTTTTTTCTTCAGTTTTTGTTCCGACTTTCGTAAGGAAAGTAACAAAAAATTTGTGCTCAGGGTAGATTTTTTTTCTTCAGACAAATTTCGACTTTTTAACTAAAAAAATGAATGTTAAAAACAAGTAAATCAAAGCTGAGCAGTTTCATAGTCGGAATTGTTTCGATAATTTTTGTGAAAATAGAGAACAAGACTGCGCGTACCAGGTCAAAGCCTTGAATTTTCGGACTACCCATCAACTTGTCTCTAATAGTTTTTTATTAAAAATATTGACAATCTATCAATTTTAGACTGATGATATCAATTTTTAAGCATTATATTTTGAATCATGTATGGAAATAATAAGCAGAGCATTTAGTTTTGCCTCAATTCAATTTGGAGCGATATTAGGGTGCTGGACACTTCGCAGCGCGTAAACCATGCGGGTTAGGCTTGTAGAGTTTTAAAAAAAAATAGTTTAGTTAGACTCGCTACACCGCGACCTTAAAACCAGTGTAGTATAGAGGCGAGTGCGAACTCTTTGCGAACACGAAGATCCGGGGATCGATCCCGCGAAAGAAAAATTGTTTCCGAAAATGAGTAAAAACAAATCACCCCAAGCATGTACATTCCTAACTTTCTTTGAAAGTCAAACCAAAAAACCTGCTCGTATTTGCACGAGTTCTGACTGTTTCAACTGCTTTTTAAGCTCTATGGAATAGTGTTTGCTTTAAAAAAAAATTTTCGGAAAAAATTGAGAAAATGTGAAGATTTTTTTCGGAAACCAACGCCCCTCACGCTGTGTTAAGTACAAAGTGATAAGTTAAGCATATAAAAAAAATACATAACACAATTTGCTTTAAATTGGAGCTAATCTCCGCTTATGCGTTAAGCGCACGACAAAAGTTATTGCGCGTTATTTATCTCAAATTGGTTAAACTGACATTCTTTAAACCCTCATAACTTAGCGAAAAAAAATCACAGGTGGAATGTCATTTTAAACTTGATTTCAAAACAGCAAAATCTTAAGATGATATAAAAAAATCCGTCAAAAAACTAGTTAAAAAGTCAAATTTTGTCTTAAAAAAAACCGAGACAAAATTTTCTTCAAAAGTCGGAACAAAAACTGAAATTTAAAGCAATATAATTAAAGCTGGCTACTACGGTAACTTAATTTTTGCTGCCTCGAAGTTTCAAATCTCAATTTATTTTAGATTTTTTCCGTGTTTAAAGATTACCAGATCCCCCGGGTTTCTGCAAAATTCAAGAAAAATTGAAGTCAAGAACAAGTAGCTTTTTCGAGAGTCTCAGTTACTGCTGACAAATTGTGAACATCTGTTGGCAAAAAAAAATTATTTCTCAAAAGATGTCAAAAAAGTTGGAGCTCCTTCCGCGCCTTCTCATTTTCGACGCTTTGCGTAAACTAGTGAAATAGGATGTCGTAAGATAGTACCGAAGAAGGACGGACCCCTTGCTGTGGTTGGTGAGGGGATTGAATCCCTGAATAATAGCACCGACCACAACCCGCTCACCCACAACGGGGACCGATCTACTTGCATGAGTGCCGCTTAGAATGCGGCTACTAGCGCAATTAGAATTGAGTTTGTTTTCTCTCATTTGCAAATTGGAAACTCAAACTGATGCAGTCTGCGTCAAACATAGAATTATTTTAATTGTGCATGACCAGCGAAACGCATCCCCCCCTCCCCGCAACACCCCTCCCACTGCCCCCCCCCCCCCCCTGATCAAACCGCATCTGGTAGAGGATGGTGAAGTTGAATATGAAGATGAGTGTGGAAGGGAGTCCGCAGTAGATGAAAGAAGCAGAGTAGTGGAAATAGATCTCCTTCCCCAGTTCACTCATGTAAGTGGGCTTAGCACACTGTCCGTCCACCAGGTCAAACGCGTACATGTTCCCAATCAGAGACAGGTAAGTCAGCGTCACCACAACTGCACTGCAGATCACAGGGTATCTAGAAGCGGAAAAAGTCAGGGGTTGTAGAAATTTAGAGGCTGATGGTTTTCTTTTCTCGTTTCGACCCATTCACTATCCTCTATTTTATGACCCGAATTGCGGTTGGCACTACTCAAAAATTGTTTTTTTTTGCAAAAGTGGTTTACTTTTTAAGGGTTAAAATACACCAGATATTCCAAAATTTTCTTTTTTTTGCTGATTTCTTCTAACTCATTTCGGCGGTGAAAAACCGGCTGTTTTTCTAGAGTTTTATGGCAATTGCCGATTTTGTTAACACTTGTTAAAAGTTATTACAATTTGCTGAAAATTAATTGAATATCCTGTCGCCTCACAAAAACTTATCCGCGCATAATTTCAAAAGAACATTAAATATAGCTAATTTGATTTTGCAACAAACTTTTCAGCTTCAATGGATTCGCATTTTTTGAGTTTTCTCAAAAGTTTTTAATTTTCACAAACTGTACCTGAGATTGGTCTTGAGCGACCTGTACTTCATGGGGTAAGTGACAGCAAGAAGTCTGTCGAAGGTGAAGAGGGTGAGGACGAATTGGGTGGAGCATGTGGTTGCGTAGTTGATCCACATCAGGAACTTACAAGAGAACCGACTCAGAGCATACAAGTTCGTGTACCAGTTGCCAATGCTGTCAACAAAAATACATCTTTGAAAACAAACATTTTTCATTATTCTGTTAAAATAATTTTTTCGAACACCAGAAAAAAAACACCAATGCCAGACGTATTTTGGACAAAAAAGTTGTTACACTTTTTTATTGAAAGGATACAGAAAGCTATTGAAGCCCGGATACTGTGGCGACTGAACATATTTTTTAATTTTCAATTTTTAATTTAAAATTTTAGTTATTAATTTAAATTTTTAATTTTTAGTTTAAGTTATAATTTTTAATTTCTAATTTTTAAATTTTAATTTTTTTTAATTTTAAAAAATTTATCGAAACCCAGCATTGGAAGACTGATGATTTTTGAAATAAGAATTAAAAAAACAACAACTGACCCGACAGTGAGTATGGAGTCCACAAATCCGGATATGATGTCCCCTATGCAGATGATGAGCATGTACATGGTGGAGGAGGAGGTTATCCCCATATAGGAGAGGGTGAGGATGCCGAAGATGTTGAACACGAAGCCCACACATCCCAGAAGGGGCACCACCACTGCATTCAGCCAGAACAGGGCAGAGTCCCACGTCTGAATGAAATAGGAACAAATATTAGAGAACACGAAAATGATGAAGGACAGTTCATCAAGTATACTAAAATTAAAATGTAAAAAATCATTATTTTTGGTTAATGGAAAAATGCTAGTCATACAATTTCCATATATGAAAAATCACTAATCATAGACCTTTCATGCAATTTTCTGTACTTATGGAATTGCATGAAAAGTGTATGACTAGCATTTTTCCATATATGGAAATTGTATGACTAGCATTTTTGGTCAACCCGAATAAGAAACAAGAGCGGCGGACAAAGCGGATATCTTTAACTATATCCCCCCATTTGCAAAAAGGGGTTGACAATATTCGTTACTAGGTATAAAACTCTGATAAGTTTAACCGTTAATTTTTTTTATAGGGATTATATTCGTAACTAGGTATAATATGAAGATTTATTATTTTAGCTATTGAGAAAAATTCAATTATTTTGAGAGATTAGCTCCTAATGGGGCTAGGAGAAATTCGCCATTTATAGAGCAAGGAAAAAGACACACTTTGCGACGTCAATGCAACTCAGCAAAGGGACCTACGCCGCATTCAGTGAGATCAAGCCAGAGTCTCACATCTGTAATAAGATCAGAAATAGGTGGACACGAATAATTCACAGCCCAGAAAGGGCACTACCACTAAGTTCAACCACAGTAGGGGGGAGTTCCAAGGCTGAAATCAGAACAGAAATTAGAGAACAAAAGGCCCGCACACCCTGGAAAGTGTACTCCCACCGAATTCGGTTCGAACAGGGCAGAGTCCCAGGTTTGAAATAGGAACAAAAAATAACAAGCACGAAGCCCAGACAGCCAGATTAGGGCAGTGAACCACGTTTGAATTAGGAACAAAATATTGAACAATATCTCCGCTTTCAACCAGAATAGAAGAAAGTCCTACGTCTGGAAGAGGAACAGAATTAAGTGAAAACGAAGCCCACACAGCCCAGAAACAGCACCATCACCGCATTCAGCGGGAACAAGGGGAAGAGTCCCACGTTTGAAATTGTAACAAAACAGTGAACACGAAGCGCGCAAAACCAGAGAGGACACTATCTCCACTTTCAACCAGACCAAAACAGATTCCCACGTCTGAAATATAAACGAAAGCATTTAAAAACGAAGGCCACATAACCAACCCAGAGACGGCACTATCAGCGCATTTACCCAGAGCAGAGCAGAATCCAATCTCTGAAAAAAGAACAGAAATCAGTGAATACACAGCCCACGCAGCCCTGAGAGGGCATCACCGCCGCATTCAGTTAGACCAGACCAGGACCGAGTTCAACTTCTGAAATGTAAGCAAAAATAAGTAGATACGAGGGGCACAGAGGCAACCCAGAGAGGGCCCTATCACCGCATTTACCCAGAGTAGAGCGGAATTCCACGTCTGAAAAAGGAACAGAAATAAGTAAATACGAAGCCCACGCAGCCCTGAGAGGGCATTACCACCGCATTCAGTCAGTCCGAGAGGACCCCCATACACCGAAAATGCTTATCATACATTTCCATACATCAAACGTATGGAAAAATGCTTGTCATACAATTTTGATACAATTTCAAAAAAAGGTTGAAAAATATATTAACTAATTTCTGCGGCTGTTTGATTCTAATGAATTATTCTGGTGATGAAAAAATAACCGAGTTATTTTGTTTTTTGAAAAAAATGCTTATCATACAGTCTCCATTTATGGAAATTGTATGACTATGTTTTTTTGATGGCAAGTAATTTTGAAATTGCCCCAAAAAGTATTTGTTTTTTTTTTCCAACCGCTAATCAAACTTTGTATTCAAAGAAACTTTTTCCAAAAATTTTTTTTTGCATGCAAACTTTCATTTTTTGTGTGCATAACGCGGTTCTGGATACACTAATGTTGGATTTTTTTTGTTTATTCGCTGAATTATTTTTCCAAAAAACTCCTTTTTTTGTATGGCATGCTTATGTACGCCTTGATCAATGTCTGATAAATTAAGAATTCGCGTTTTAAAAATATTCATCGTTGTAAATTTTTTCAGAGTTTGTTTTTTTCGTTAAATTGTTTATAAAAGACAGCTCCAAGACGATTCCGGTCGTTTTCTATGCATTATAAATGCAAGACCAGTTCAACCTTTAGTGCTTTGAGCTAACCAAGGTAGTTGTTTTTGCGTTCGGTCCCCCAAAGTTTTGGAGAAAACGATTTAAAAAAAAACAACTGTTTTGTATATGGAAAAACGCTTATCATAGAGATTTCATTCAATTTTCTGTACGTATGGAATTGTATGGAACTGTAATGTAAGAAACTTTTCATAGATATGGAAATTGTATGATAAGAAGTTTTGTTCAACCCTGGAGAACAGGACGGAGTCTCACGTCTGAAATAAGAAAAAATTAATGTAGACGAATCCAATCAGCCCTGAGAAGTTACCATCGCGGCTTTCAACCAGAACAGAAGGAACCCCACCATTGCAATCAGCAAAAACATGGCAGATTTCCAAATCAGAAATGGGGGCAAAAACGCGAGAACAAGTTGCTCAAGCAGCCGAAAAAAATCACCATCGCCATAATCAGGCAGAACAGGGTAGAGCTTCAAATTAGAAATTGGAGGGAAAACGCTTGAACACGATGCCCAAACAGCCCAGAGACGCCACCACGACAGCATTTAGCCAGATCAGGGCATAGGCTCACGTTTCAAATCAAATGTTTGTAATGAGGTGAAAACGCGGGCCCGTCAGAATAACGACGCCGGTAGCTCCATTTGGTTTTTGTTTTACGTCAACTACTTACGTCTGACTCAGTAGTGTGCCGAAGGGGAAGGGGCGGAGGTGACTACACTCCCCCCCCCCCTCAATTCTGGTTGCCGAAAATTTTCCAAAGGGTCCTTCCTTTGGTATAACTTTATGACATCCATTTTTCAACGAATAACCTCGAAATTTTTCTAAAGGTGCCTTTGGCGCCAACATGACTAAATTTGAAGAGGGACCGCGCGCCGAAAAAAGCGCATTTTCTTCGTTAAAATTTTTCGAAAAATGCCTAAAAACGCATTTTTTGGCCTGCTTTTTGGGAAAAAAATCACAAAATGGGATCCTTATACTATTTTGGAAGACTCGGAAAGTCAAATTGGTCAACCTCAAAAAAGGTCGGCAACATTATAAAAATTTTTCGAAAAACTGACCTCCCTAGAAAAATTTCTGCGCACGCCACTGGTCTGACTGATTCATAAAATTTCT